CCCAAACCTGGTCCAGATCTGATGATGAAAAATCTCAAATATTTGCTCAACACCTCTCAAAAACATTTAATCCACACCCAGACATCCTTAATCCAACCCACCTTGAGTTTATTGAAGCAGAATTGGATACCCCACTCCAATTGACTCCTCCACCTAAAGCATTTCATCCTTCAGAAATATCCAATATCATTAATAGATTACCTTCTCGCAAAGCTCCTGGCCATGACCTAATCACCTCCCAGATCCTAAAATGTCTTCCTAAAAAAGCCATACTGTTCCTAACCTATATATTTAATGCTGTACTCCGCACCACATATTTTCCTGACTCTTGGAAACTATCCATTGTCAAAATGATACCTAAACCCACAAAGCCGCCAGAACACCCATCCTCTTACCGTCCTATCTCCCTTTTACCCATTATGGGCAAAATCCTGGAAAAACTCATTTTAAAACGCCTGTATCCCATCCTAGACTCTAAACACATTATCCCAGATCACCAATTTGGATTCCGCACATCCCACTCCACTATTCAGCAATGCCATCGTGTGGTAGATGTAGTCTCCTCTGCATTGGAGCGCGGAATGTACTGCACGGGAGTCTTTCTCGACGTTGAACAGGCGTTTGATAGAGTCTGGCATCCGGGACTGATGTACAAACTCCGTGAATTCCTACCACCTACATACTTCCTCATTATACGTTCCTACCTTACTGACAGATACTTCAAAGTCAATCATAACAATGCTTATTCATCTCTTTTTACTCAGTCTGCCGGTGTTCCTCAAGGTAGTATCCTAGGTCCTATCCTTTACACAGTTTATACAGCTGACATCCCAACCCAATCCAACACTGTTATCACCACCTATGCCGATGACACGTGTATCCTATCAGTTAATAACGATCCTTTAATTGCATCCCAAACTCTTCAATCACATATCACAAGCCTTGAAGAATGGTGTAAAAATTGGAGAATAAAAATAAATTCCAACAAATCCCATCAAATCACTTTTACCCTCCGTCGTAAACCTATGACCTCTTGTCCTACAGTATCCTTCAATAATACTCCACTTATTCCTGTTGAGCAAATCCGCTACTTAGGACTCCACCTTGACAAACGACTCACTTGGAACCCCCATACCAGACTGAAACGACTAGAAACCGCCCGACGTTTTCGACTACTGCAGCACTTACTAGACAAACGATCTAAGCTTTCAATCAATTATAAACGACTCGTATATATGACAATAATAAGACCTATTTGGACTTACGGAATTGAGCTTTGGGGCTCCACTAAACCATCGAATTCCTCTCGTATCCAATCCTTACAATCCAAAATCCTTCGTAAAATCCTCAACGCTCCTTACTTTGTCACAAATAAAATCATCCATAAAGACCTTAATGTTCCATATGTTTCCGATCTGGCCCAATCCAGATACCTTTCCTTCCATAACAAACTGCAGAATCATCCGAATCCTCTCGTTTCAAACCTTGCTTCCTCCTCGATCCCTGATAACCCTCCGAGGCGTCTGAAAAGAAGATGGCCTCGGGATCTTCTAATATAGAACTTTAATTTGAGTTCTACCAATGGGTAGTTTCTCTTCATGTTGTACATGCCATGTTACAAATTTCTCATTTACTTATTGTATTCTCTATGTAATACAGTTGTAAATTCCATTGAAATAAAAAAAAAAAAAAAAAAAAAAAAAAAAAAACTTCTGAAAAAATTCTACTTTCATCAATAACATTTACAGCCATCAAATTGTTTATAATATGATGATATGAGGTTTTTTACTGTTTTGAAAACTAAAATGTAGAAAATGCCTTGCAAGGTCAAAACGTAAAAAAATTAAATAATTTTTCTTTTCTTGTTAAAAATATTAGTTCTTAACAAAATGTGTTTTGAAGATTATTCACGACCTTTTAAAACCTTAAAAAGTAGTTGTATTAAAGGGCATTAATTAATATAGACCACTAGGGGAACCAGGATTTAATTTTAGGGGACTTCTCCCCAAAACATTATTATATATATATGCATGACGATAATTACTTTGAAAAAAAATAAAGATACTAACTACCTCTGTGAAATGGTGTTTATATGATTCTTCAAGTCCTGATAAGTATAATTACAGGAACAATAATACTTTAAGAGATAATTTGTTAATATTTTTTCCATAAAACATGTTTTTATTTTACCATTTTGGGGAGGCTTCAGCCCGTAGATCCGCCTCGGTAATATAGACCGACGCGCATACATTTACCCTATATATTGAAAATAAAACATCATAAATACTAATAAAAAATGTTATTTGTAATTAAATAGTACTTAATGTAGGAAGAACTTGGAATATTTAATTCATTGCCCATATCGTGTTACGATCGGTATTATATTATTACTTTTTGGAGATCGATAATTAGTCGATTTGAATGAATTTAAGCCAATATTTTGTTTTTTTTTTGTTTAAGCCAACGTTTCGACCTTAACATGTGGGTCCTCCTTAGGGCTATCGTATGAAAGTCGAACTTGGTTCATGTTTTTGTGCTTGTCTCGACTTCCAAACGATAGCCCTGAGGATGGCCTACATCTTTAGGTCGAAATGTCGGCTTACCCAATAAAAATATTGATTGAAATTCTTGAAAAATTTGTTCATCCTTATTATTATTTTTGTGTCCTGGCCAACTCAAAATAATAATTATTTATCCTGTATTGGAGAGTTTGGTTTTCGACACATCTGTTAGTAACATGAGTGAATATATTTTGCAATATTTTTGTAAATAATTAAAACATTAGTTTACGAGCAAAACCATCCATATACAAGAACTGTCTGTGTTAGACTTGTTTTGATATGACTCTTGTGGACACTGCAAGTGAGCAGAAGTGATGACCAAGGGAGGAAGGGATGGAAAGGACGTGTAGTAAAGAATTGAAGGGCATTATTCAAATAAGAAATATAATTGAATGGGCTTAGACTATGTCCTGGCGGTACTCCTTCCATAAAGATGAAGCTTGACCCTCGGCCACCCTTCTCCCCCAACCCTTCCCCCCGACTAGTCCTAAAAAACACGACCCCCCTGCCCCACCCTAGGATTTGCATATCCTTGTTTGTCTGAAGCTATTTTTATCTTTTCTGTTTTTCCAGGGGTCCCTGCCTCCGGCTATCAGTCATAAACTCCACCAAATCCCCCCTGATTTAATTAGGATGTTTTTATTTTTTTTGCAACGAGCGATTCCATTGCCCTGAGTGATCGACCAATTGTCGGTTGGGAAAAATAAAATCTATGGTGCTGTTTTCATAATGAAATGGTAGGAAGGTTTTCCGACACTCAGTGTTTGTACTTTTATTCATGCTGTGGAAGGGCCTGATTTGATTAACAAACAAGTAACGCTTCAATAATATCCGTCGGATTACAATTTAGATAATTATTGTTTAAATGAATATCCTTATTATTTATATTTTTTTCACCTTCAGGAGTTAAAGGTAATTAAGTACATTCTCATCTATTACTTTCTCTAGTCTAGTTAACGCGTTCGCTGCCAATTACGAGTTATCTTTTAGGTGGAAATTATCTCGTAGGCATCATCTAGGAGCTAATTCGTATAACGTTTTGTTTTACCTACACCACATACGATCAAACTCGTAATAATTGTATGGTCTTTGAAAATATTTACTGGCTTTGAGGAGGGGCGTGGAAAACCTTTTTTGAACACTCGGCGATGAACATAATTTCTTTTTCATCATCCTGGTGTCCCAAAGAAGCTTTCAGTTTTTAATAGAGTATTTCAAAAAGTCATCAAGTGATATTTCATAACCTTAAATCATTGATAATTTTGATGAGTCTTTCCTTCGTGAAATCATAAAAATGTGCACTTGTTGTGTCTGTACTTGATATATGAAAGGTTATGTGTCGTTTTAGTGGACTTACAATGTTTTTTTATCAATAAATAGGTTCCAAAGTTACAAAAACGTTCTTAAAAGTTTAGCTCCATCAAAAATGCACGTTTTAAAATAAACCGACGATATATCCATTCTGTATATATAAATATCTTATGTTTTAGAATTTTGGAAGGACAGGGTTTCTATTTACACAGAATTTAAGCCTAGTTTTTTTCATACTTTGAACTAAACAGGCTATAAAATATATTTAGTGTTGAAAGACATAAAGAAATAACAGATTTATGTTTTATAATTTACAGTATGAAAAATCTTGAAGTTAATTATTTTAAAAATAAAATCATAGTATTTACTGACGATAGTTTATAAATCCATATCTTGGCCATTTATTTAACGCATATAATTTCTCAACCTTTTTTATTTTTATTTTATATATTGCATAATATGTATTCTTGCTGGTCTACCGTTTGGTATTGCTAGGAACACTATTGTTTGTTATTTTGGACTAAGGATGATTTTTTTTTAAATTGGTTAATCATTTCTAAACTCCTAGCTGAGTGTAATATAATTTAGAATTGGAAAAAAATTCTTAATATTCCATGCTATAAATATGAATTTTTTTCTCTTATACAGTTGTGTAGTACTATGACCCCCACAAGGTTTGATGCCTTGCCGGACGCATATTACCAGAGCCCTGGTGTATTGAAGGAGTCTGATAAATATATAAAAAAGACCTGATTTATATATATATATATATATATATATATATATAAGTATTTATAGTATATATATATATATATATATATATATATATATATGTATGTATATATATGTGTTTGTGTATATAATTTATATATAATCAAGACAGTTTAATTTACTATAAATATAAAAAAAAAAGAAATAAACGGATATGCAGACCCTAAGACCTTTTTTCTGAAGGTTATACAACAGTAGTGGGTTGTACATCCTTTTATTTATAAGTAATGGTTTTTTTTTTTAAATAGCCATCCCAGCCGTGAGTTATCAACGATAAGGGATCTAACCGCCTGTGATCCGTGGTACAATAAATATTCATGGGACGAGGCACTGATGATGCCCTAATCCTATGATGTAATGGATCACCTCCCATACTCCTCCTGGATAATCAGACCTATTCAGCTATACCATTGTGTCCTATACCCTCCCAGAGGACCCCAGGGTCGTCATTTTTTCAAGAGTTGGGGTCGAACTATTCCAGTGACTGCCTCTGGAGTGTACTGCTTTCAAATTAATTACATATTATATAGTAATAATGTCTGTAGCGGTAGCGAACATCAAGTTAAAAAATAGATATATTTTTCCGAACAAATATACAATTGAAAAAAAAAAAAAAACTGAAATTAGTTTTCAAAGTTCAACATAAAGGATTATTCTTATTTCTAATATATATATTGCCCTTCAGTGTGGCAGATTGTATTAATACTCAATAAAAGTTAAAAAAAAAAAAAATATATATATATATATATATATATATATATATATATATATATATATATCTTGAATATATATATATTGAATATTAACACAATCTACCACACTCAAGGATAATAAGCATTAGAGCTAAAATTATCCACTCATACCATACATACATGCAACATAAATAAATGTAGAAAATTAAAAAAAATAAATAAAATGAATAAATAGAATAAATAAAAAGAAAAGATTTAATAAATAAATAAAATTCTTCTAGAGCTCATTCACACCTATATAAAATATTTATATAGTCCCAAGAGACTCAGAGCGAGACTTTATCTTCCATTCGTGGTTGTAAAACTGGAGTGGTATAATTAAAATTGGAAAATGGATTTTGCGAAGGTTTGTTACCAATAAACCTTTAGTAATTGTGCTTATAAATTTGAATATAAAACATATATTTAATTAAAATTTTTAGAGCATCTCTCGATGATTTATATCTTTTACTAAAGAGTTGAAACTTTTATTCGACTTTTTTAAAACTTCACTTTTTAAAGTTTTTATGAAACTTTTGGAAAAAAAGTATTCAAAATTTAGGTTGTGAAGTTCTTTTTTGTAATAAAGTTCCTGGTTATGGTAAAAGTTTATTTTTTTATTTATTTAAGTCCTTAAAAAAGAAGAAGGTTAAATGAGAAACTGTAATTAGGCATAGATTGCAGATGCAACGTCTTAAATGAATTATTTGAATCTTTTATTTCCTTTTTGCAAAGAATTTAATGCCCAGTTACCATTTTTAGAGATATTTATTGCTTTTTGGAAAAATTAATTGCTTCAGCAGAACTTTTAAATAAAAGTTTTGTTTTTCTTAAAGATTTTATAAAACCTTTATTAGAAAGTTTGCTTAAAGTTCCGAAATAACAAAAAAAATATTGAAAATAAAGATTCCAGGCATAGTGGAACTGATTATAAATAAATATTGAAATTTGATTTAATTCCCTGATTTTATTTTATAATTTATTTATAATGATGTAAATAGAAAAAAGAAAAGTAATATTAATTGAAAAAAAAGAAGAAGAAAAATTACTAGAAAATTTCAATTTAAATTTACAGTAAGAGGAGTTAATTCAATCCAAAACACTATTTTTTCTGCTAGTTAAATATTACTATTTATTTTGTCATCAATCAATTTTCTTCTGCTTTTAAGTTGATTAATATTATTTTATTTAATTTTAATTCAATTATACCAATGGAGTTATCAACCGTTTGCTGGTCTTTAGCTCTTACATAATATTCATATTGCACAATATAAAAATTAACAATAAATTTAAAGATAAAAAACATTGAAATTTCGAAAAATGAAAATACAAATACAAAAATAATAAATTTTGTAAAATGGTAGTGTTTTTTTGAAAGAAATAAAAACAACATTTTTGCCAATTTAATTTTCGTACTCTACTTCATTAGTAGTTGATTGGTACTTAAATGATTTTGATGTTGCCTGTTTGATCGCAAATGTTGTACCTATGTTGATCCTTGCACTTCTCTTTTCATCCCTGAGCCTTCTACCAATACACGCGTGACGAAATCTCGGTACATCGAAGACGGTGGAAGCCCATCGGTGACCGCTACAAGCCGCTGGCCCGGTATGGGACAAGGCAGTGCTTTAGGGCACCTGGTAGCTATCGATACACTATCACGGCTAGCAGAACAGCTATCTCTAACAGCCACTACTCTACACACAGCTCTATTGTGTCCCAGCTTTATCGCTTAGAGCCACTCCTGGATAATCCTCCCCACTCCTGTCCATTGTTTCTCCCTACGTCCAATTTTTTTTTCTTTACACTTTTATTCAACTAGAATGCTGACACGATTTGTATAGGTATAGAATCCGTTTTCAACATTAGTGACATTTAATTTTCAATTGACGGGAGAATTTCTAAAGAAAAATAAAATAATATAAAACATTCTAAAATACGAGGATACTGTACCGATTCAATTTGAACTACAACAGTATTTGAAATGTTTCTTCATTTGTGAACATACTGGACCAATACTCCTGTATTGCTTTCTTTTAACCATAATCTGAAGTATCTTATAAAATTTTTTAAACCTATACTTTTATCGATCTTAACCGGCTCTGATAGTAATTTAACATTATTTTTTTCAATATATATATATATATAAATATATATCCCCAATTATTATATATAATTATCCCAATATATATATATATATATTTACAACTTTTCCTTAATCGATCTTTGAGTATTAAATTTAAACTTAACTGTTTAATTGGGAATAAGGTCACTTATTAATTATTTAATAAACTATTAAATGTTCATTTCTTCTGTTTATTGACGTTTCGATCCCGGTATTTTCTTTTTATTAGTCAACGATGGGATCCTCTTCAAAGCTAGAATTTTAAAAAATAGAGCTTCGATCAGGCCAGGGACACACCGACAGTCTCAGCACCGTCCACTAGCACATATGTTAAGCTACTTGTTTTTATATATATTATTGTTTTTATAAGGCTGTGGTACATTTTGAACTGTTTTTATTTTTAGTATTTTTCTTATTTTATAGCTATTCCTTTATATTTATAATAGTCTGTGTATTATTAAGTACCTATTCATTAGTTAAATAAATTAGTTAAATACTGTTTCTTAAATTTTTTTGGCATAACGGTTCTATTTATTAATATTTTGGCCAACTAATTCATGAAAATATAAAATCAAAAATATTCATAAAATATTACAGATTATATGCATTTATAATTAGTCCGTGGTACCGACCCATTTTTATCAAATTAATAAGTGACCTTATTCCCAATTAAATAGTTAAGTTTAAATATATATATATTAATATAGTTGGTTTATTTCGATTTTATTTTTTTCTCCTTTATATCCAACGTGTTATCCCTTTATTTTTGTTTTTTAAGTTTCTTCAATTCTCAAGGAAAGGATCTTTATAAAATCATTTGGACTAATTTGCTCTTTTCACGTGATTTTGTCTAATACAAAACATCTGTAATATTTTTAATAAAAATATTTTTTAATTAAAATATAATGCTGTTATGATGACTAAATAGCATAACAATAATATTAAATATGATTATTGTTTTTATAAGGCTGTGGTACATTTTGAACTGTTTTTGAGTTATGATGACTGAATTGCATAACAATAATATTAAATATGATTATTGTTTTTATAAGGCTGTGGTACATTTTGAACTTTTTTTATTTTTAGAATTTTTTTTTATTTTATAGCTATTTCTTTATATTTACAATAGTCTATGTACTATTAAGTACCTATTCATTAGTTTTAGCCAATGTTACTGTTTCTTAAATTTTTTTCCATAACAGTTCTATTATCAATATTTTGGCCAACTAATACATGAAAATACAATATCAAAAATATTTATAAAAGATTACAGATTATATGCATTTATAATTAGTCCGTGGTACTGACCCATTTTTATCAAACTATTAACATCCGTCTGAAACTTCATAAATGACTTCATCTCTTCTTAACCTACAAATATTTTATTTACGAAAACTCTTGGAATCGGATCGTTTTCAATCTGGGGATCGGCAAACTGTGTCTATTTAATTTGGGACTAAAAACTCTTAAATACCCATTTGCTTTCCACTTGGATCTTAAGATAATTTGAACACAACATTGAGAAAAAAGGTGGCCTACAATAATATTGGGCTGTGTGGCCTATATAATCCAGTTATTTTGAAATGTTGGGGGGTGTAGATCACGCCAAATAGTCCAATATTTTTGTAGGCCATCTTTTTTCTCAATATTGTGCTCAAATTATCATACGATTCAAGTGGAATGTAAATGAGTATTTACGATTTTTTAGTATCTAATTAAATCTATTTTATTATTATTTATTATAGACAGTGTTTGCTGATCTCCAGATTGAAAATACTCCGATTCCGAGAATTTTCGTAAATGAACTAATTGTAGGTTACGAGACGAAGCTATTTACAAAGTTTCAGGTGGATGTTAAGGATTTGATAAAAAGGGGTGTGTATATAAAAGACGGACTAAATATAAAATAAGAAAAAATAAACCATATCATTATAATCAAATGGTCTGCGTTAAGTTGTCAAATAAAGAGACACAAAATAATATTGGGATATAAAAATTTAATCATTTTAACCTATTTCCGGTACTTCATTATTTATTCATTGGCAGAATATTGAAAGAATTTAGTTCAAAATACTTGAGCATGAGAAATTCAATTAAGTATCAAGCTTATAATACATTGTTTGTGACATTTCAGAAATTATTAGTGCGTTAAATTACTAAATATATATCGGTTGAGACTGAATTTAATCATAATGTATTGAGTTAGTAAAAAATTAAATTCTTCATAGTAAAAAAATAACAAAATGGAAAAAAATACTTTAAAAAACTTGGATGTTTAATTTTATATTTACTTTTATTCGTTTTAATTTTTTACTGGCTTCAGATGATTAATTTACTTTTGTTGTCAGCATGTATACAATTTAATTATTCTTACCGAATAACATGATCTGAAGTATTATTGATGTCTTAATCGGTTACATATCGGACAGAAGTCAACTCAGTTCTTGATTAAGATATGATGGCAGAACCTCATTCCAAACATCATCAATCATTTACAGCGATGGTAATAGTCTACGGATTGAAAATATAGATTGAACTCAGGACTGTAGTCACAATATATTTTTTTTATTACCTATATTCCAAAAATATGATTTTTAAATTAGCTTATGTCAATTTTACCATGTTACTATTCTTTTCTGATTCCATCCATCAATATAAAATTTTAAAATTGTGATGATTAGCGAGAAACAACTCGCAACTTAAAAAAGAATTCACAATATCTTTATAACAAGATTAAATTTAAAACAATAATCATTGTTTATTGAAATTTTAGGTCACCTGACTTCTGTGACATGGACGACCGAACGAATCGGCTTCCAAAAAGGTTAGTTTGTCGTTTGGAATAAAGTGGTTTTGTGTTTGTTATTTAACTCAAAAGAAAAAAGATTATATCTTAAGGTTGTCCTTTGTTTTCACTTTATTGTTTTTATTTTTTAAATGTATGAATTTTGTTGTCTTTACGTTAGATATGTGTTTGTGTTGTCTGTTTTAAGTTGTCTATATAGGAGGAGGATTATATATATATATTATATATATATATATTATATATATATATATATATATATATATATATATATATATATATATATATATATATATATATATTTATATTTATAGATATATATAAAATTAAATTACGATCTAACTATAAAATAATTTATAGCTATATTTACCGACTGAATGGTTTAGGATTCAATGTTTGTTTCACCCCGAATTAAAAACATTCAACTTTGGCTTTTAGTTGAAAGTAAAACTCTCTTGATAATGCAACCAATTCTATGTAGAAATCTGATCAGAATCGAAATATGAATGTATAGATTGGTAGTATAATACCATAAAATCTTTACCCTATAAAAAAAATTAGAAATATGCAAACAATAATTTCAAAAATTCAGTTAATTTATGATAGAGTTTTGAAAGAAAATTGCTAATTTAGATCGTATAGTAATTATATAACAGTAATTATAAATCATTTCATATAAAAGGAAAAGTTGGTAAAATGATAATTGATGTAAGTATGAATTAAAGTGTGAAGAAGTATGATTAAAAATGATAAACCTTTTTTACCTAAAAATCATTTCAATAAAAAAAATTCAAGAAAAATGTTCTCCAACATTGTCAAGTGATTGGTTGATAATGGTACCTTTGTTATATTTACAAATCACCATACAAATATTCCTGTTTTCATATAATGGAAGTCATAACTTATGTTTACAATGTAAGGTACTTTTCCTACACCAAACAGTTAGTTTTCGTGAACATTTTCTACTGATATATATATTCATATATATTAGGTATATCATTATAACATCGTTATAATCCAGAAGCTTTTAAGTAGCTTAATCCGGTATCTGGAGGATATGCTATCTTCAATAATATTGGGTTGGATAATGAGGATATGGGCCAACGACCAATGAACGTAGATGTAACATCAGACTGTGAATAGCAAAGCCCGATATGATTGGAACATATGATGACGACTATCGCCTGATTGGCCTTTGTGCAGCCAATTACACGTTCCGCGTTGCACTATCAACCGCAATTGCTTCTTGGTTTCTCTCATTGCTTCACATTCGCGTTTGGCTTTTTGTTTTGTTCTTTAATTACCGGCTAGCGTTTGTTACAAAGGATTTAGTTTTTTTTTTCCTTCCAATTTACTTTTCCAATTCCCCGTAAGGTCGGTCCAACAAAACCATTTGGCAAATGAAGGAATTCGTGTTCCTTCGGTCGGGATCTCTTGCCCCATAAGCCCTTCATTAATTACAACGGTTAAAATAAATTCAAATAAAGAATTAAACTAGAGTGACAGTCGGGAGCAGAGAAAGAGAGAGGGAGTGGGGGGGGGATAGAAGCCCTAATTACAGAATTAGATTCCAAGTCCTCCGGGCCTAACTTTCTTTTAATTTAATAAAGACTTAACTTGTTATTTGAACTCAGCCTCCGGCTTAAGAATTGTAAACATCTTTGTTTGCCTTTTCTCCGTCTCCTTATTCTCCGTCTTGTCTAATCTCTCTCTTTTTTACCCAAGACCCCTCCCTTAGCTTTCTTCCAGTAACTGTTTCCAAACAGTTGTAATTCATCGGCTCTATTTGTTCAGGTGGAGGTGGACAATATTGTTGTTCTATTAATCTCGACTTTTCTATTTTTCTGGAATATTTCTTGAATATTTTTTACTATATCTAATTAGATTTATGAACTTTAAGGCAAACAGCACATTGTCAATATCCGTTATCCAGTTTTGTGGGCTTTAGAATGTGCCGAGTTCAACTATTGGGCTGTTTGCAAAGAATATAAATACATAAAACATGAGATTCTCAGCGACATGAGTGTGTCTTTCATGAGAGAAGTTCACGTGTTATAAATGCCAAGTTGGATTGCTTTGGAAGAAGTGAGTGTGCGCATCAGAACGTTAAGGTTAAGTGGGCTTCTAGTTCTGTTTAGTTTTAATCCGAGAATCTCGGATTTGTATAGTTGTTATAGCATTCGATTTGCTAAAGAAAAAAGGATATGTGAAAAAAGAAAAGCCTGTGAGCTCCATTAGAGTTCGATCCCTAGGCAGCACATTTGCATACATAGGACACTGCTACCTGCCATTGCGGTCAGACGACCCAGTTCCGGTTTGATAACGACTGCCGACCTTTATAGGTTTCGTGTTGATATTAAGCCAGATAGAGGCAGGCTATCTAATCCACAGTTCTAACTATAAAGCTAATTATACTGAACGCTCCGCCAATATTGGACCTGTATATATTCAAATTGGTCCGGGTATTGAGATAAGCACTTGTTGACATACCACAAGCCGTCCACGAACGACTGTTTACAGGGCGTTATCGTTTTAACTGTGTGTAGTTTCAGTAGCGGTCATAATATCCCATCTCACGGGGCAAATTTGTCCTAGCTGTTTGACAACCATTATGAGCGCTCATAATTCCACAAATGAAAGCTTTAAGCTCGTTTCACGAGTACTGGATTGGAACTAGTTGATATATTAATTTTAATGAACCAGCTTCTGTATATGACATTTATTTAGAGCCATATACCCGTGTGATTTTCACCATTTACAGCTCTGAGAACAATGACATTTATCACACAATTTTGTTTCCTTCAACTCATTGATTTATTTAAATGCATTACTTAAACGATAACTTCATTCCTATTAAATCCAACATAAAAATATGTATTTGAAAACTCGATACAGTTATTTTGGTGCTCAGGCGATCCTTAAAGTGGAAATGGAACAGGTAATGTTTTGAAAACTGAGGGCATGGTAAATGACACGTTTTCTTTTAATATCTTTATTGTTATTTCCAATCAATTATTTTTACAGTTCCTAATAAGAGTGGTGTAGCTGAGGAGGTAAAGCACTAGGTTTCTATGCTCAATTTTCTAGGTACGGCATTTAAATATATATCCTAATTATTTTCTACATCTGCTGCGGATCGACGTCGGAATCAGGAGACCCTTTTAGGGCACATTGGTACTATTAATTATATAATCAATTCAGGAAAAACCTGATGGTTGAGCGTGATCTCGGTCCAGTCACCTGCTTATATAACCGTTGGCCTTGAAACAGTACTTAACAAGTGCTAAACCCAAGGGATTTCATGGGTTATAGTGGTACAAGTTCTTATTTTCCTAATAATACCGTATAATCAAAATTATTTATTATTTAATTTTATCATATCTTTTAACTTGTGTAGTGTACGATTCGCTTATTCCCAAAGTGAACCGTAATAGATTTTTTTGGGAATCGAGATGTGTCGGTATGTAAAAACAACCATTGGTACAATTTTTTCCAAAATCGAACTTGAAAAAACATGGTGTGAAAATAAGGTTGTTTCCTTAACCAGCTTTTTATTCAATGAATGTATTTTTTTTTCTTTCGTTCCGAAACGGGCCTTGAATTTTAATTCGTTTCAAGATCGGCCTTATTTAAGTTTTAATGTTGTTTTTTTTATTAATTTCTATTAAAATAATAAATGATTCTCGAAAATATGTGCTACATATAAAGAATTTCTTATTTTTTTTTAAATAAAAACATTGTCAGTGATGATTAGGATTCACTTTGAACTTATACATAAGACTGTCAAATAAAGTCGAATGAAATTTGTAGGAGCTACGTCTCAGATAACTTTCTCATCCTCGAACTACATATCATCGGTCTATTGCAAAAAGTCATCATAGGTGATAAATAGTAAGGGCGCAGTCATTCTAAGACTTTTATTGTTGTTTCCGACGTTTAAATCCAAGCATGTGGGTCACCATCAGGGCCTGTTTACTCAACTTACTTGAATGATTACCCATATGCTTGGAATGAAACGCAGGCAAGAACAATAAAAATCTTCGAATGACTGCGCACTGACTATTTATCACCGATGATATAGAACAGTCGACTAACTTCCTTCCAAAAGTCACTAAGTGCTTTTCTGATGTAGGTTAACTTTCAAGTATGTTTTTGTGAATTACGAGTTTATCGATATAAAATCACTATTAGTGCATGGAAATGGCATAAACATGTCACATATAGTTACAATAATTGCACAATTTTCTGGTTTCACAAATCGTAAATTCTTCTAAGTTCTTGATTATTTAAGGTTATGCATTGTTATAAAATGACTTTTAGTTATATATTATTTTATTATTCACCTCTCTGAGTTTCTTATATATTTTTTCGGCACACGTTTTGAAACGAATAACGCAACTAATATTCTGTTCCAACAAAGGTATTTTCTTTTAGAACAGCCGTTATTCAACTCTACATAAACCCGCTTGATGATCCTCTAGTTTTTGCTCCATCACACGAAAGACAATGGTCCCAGCGGTCCCAACAGATTGCCGCGGCTTGACCTTGCTTTGTTCCGGAAGACTAATTTAAATGGAGGATGCGGGCCTGGGGGCCGACTGTCCCACGGCCTCCTAGAGTTTCACCTGTTATTATCATGTCATGTGCGCCTTGGTAATTCGACCCCCACCAGCCATCTTAGCCAAGTATTGTTCCAACTCGAGGAGCGAGATAAGACTGCAGCTGAGTCCCAGATTAAAAGGCAACAGAGCGGGGAGCAGCGAGGACTTTGGCTGTAATAAAGAGGGTTGGTCCTTTTGTTTCCCGGGGCAATCCTTTTGAGATATATATATCTCCGGTTCGCATTATTCTCTAAGTGCTTTTCTTTGCTGGAAAGAGTATTTAAAACGTAAAACACAATTCTGCCCATTGTTTTTCATATACAATATTAATTTCGTTGAATTTTTTATAACGTTCATGGAAACAATTTACTGCATTTGAAGTACAAACCCAGATGGGTCAAATTAGAGAATTTAATTACCTTTCAAAAGATTCTGTATACAGTTTACTATAGAATGCATAATTCGTGAGTTAGGCCCCAAATTATTTTCCAAATACAACTATTTTCCTGAATTTTTTTATGATTTTACTTCATATACGAAAATTGAAGGACATTAGAGGATTATAGGAAAGCTTCATTAAAATCTTTGGAACCATTTTTACGATACTGTCAACGAAAAGCATGTTTTTTTTTTCTTATTTGCTTTCGACAACATCCTACAAAACCGAAAAAAGAAGGCTCAAAATCAGTCTACTTCGTTCCTGAAAAAATTCTATCACAGCCAACCCAATAGCTGAAATAGTTTTTTCTCTTCTCTGTTGAAAACTTCACATCGGAAATTTGTCGGGTTGCAATACTTTCCCTACCTAGAAGCACTAAAAAAGTAAAAATAACAGATATTTAGAGTTAACTTGGGTCCATGGACAACTTTTTAAAGTATTAACTTAGAGCAAAACTACGACCGGTTAATAGCCCTGAATATTTTTGGTAACCGTGTTGTAATATTTTTATTTCGTTGTACCATAAACATTGTCAAATTTTAGTAATTAGAACTATTGTTCATGTACGTCAGTATTAGTTAGTTATCTTTAAAAAAATATGAGGCAGAAATCCAATCATTTGCTTTTTTACTGACTTCTGATAAGTGGCAACTGAGAAATGATCTTAGAAAAATACGATGTATTTTAATATGCCTAATAACAGATAGATAAAACTATACTTAATTATTGCTTCATTCAATTTTTTCTATGTTCTGATAGTTTTAAATATTTATTATACATGATTTAAATTTTGTTTCTTTGTTTTTTATATCTCTGTTTCTATATATATATTTTTTTTTTTACATTGGCTACTGCCATTTAGTCTACTGATTGAATTTATGTTCTCTGTCAATCTTGTTTGAAAGTTACCACATGGCAAAATATTCATCTTCTGAAATATATAATTATTTTTTGCTTTATATCTCTCTGTATATTTATATCTCTCTGTATAGAGAAGGAATTAAAACTGAGAAAATAATAGGTTGCTTAAGCTTATTTGTTCTGAACCGGCACAACCTAGTTGGCAGTGGTTAATATTTTTAAAAAGATTAAAGATCTCTGGACCTCCTAGGATTCAGGTATTTGGTGAATCATGATGAATCTTCATGGAGTATCATGGCGAGAGCTAAATTGTTGCTTAAATTATATCTATATATGAATATTATGAGTTATTCTATATATTGTTACGAGTGATTCTGGTTAGCATTGTCATATACCAATGACCATTAATGTTGATACACGTTCAATAATCTTGCTTTATGGTTAAATCGAATGAAATTTGTAATATACATATATATATAATAGATTTAAACTATTAAAAAAAAATATATACAAATTTTTGTACGTGTATCCTCATTAATGGTCATTGGTAAATAATAGTGCTAACGATAATAACTCGTAACAATATCTTTGCTCATAATATTCGAATATAGATATAATTTAATATATATAAATATATATATATGTATATATATATATATATATATATATATATATATATATATATATATATATATATAGTTATAATATAAATGTTGTTTCTCGGGAAACTTTTAAAGACAGGTTATTATGGGCGGAATAGAAGGTTCCCCTCATAACTCAAGATGGAATAGGATATAACCACCCCCCTCAGTGCGCCAGATGTCGGTAATATTCTCGAAAATACTACATTTAATTATGGGATAATAAAGGAAAATGAGCGGGTTGGAATCGACCCTGTAGGAGAGATAGCTCTTTCCAATATAGTATTCATACTTAGCCTCTTGGGAGGAATAAGAGTTTAAACGTGGCCCTAACAGCAGCTCCCTTATTGGATCCCGAGGAATCTGAGCAAGATATGAAGAAAGTTTTTTATAGACCGTAATGTCGTCGAAGAGAGAGACATATTGGAAGCCAACATCTGCTCTTGTAACCAGCCTTATCTCGTCCCCCCTCCTGTTTCGTGTCACACTAACTTCTTAATTGTTTTCCGACAAATCATTATTACTTCCTTCGCTTTATTTATAACATGTTTGGTATTTTTATAAATTCGATTGATTGATTCTGATGTTCTTGTATGCATGATTCAGTATAAAGAATATATAAGTATCAAGTAGTATTCAGTATCAGGTATATATAACTCTAAAACTTTAAAATTCAAAAGCCATTAATCCCTCAAATACCTGTTAGTAACCAGTCAACGTGTTCATTCCTCATCAGGGCTAAACATCTTTATTGAATAACATAAATATAATTCTTTTATTTTTTAAAATTATTTATTTCTTTGTGCTTGATTTCATACAGTGCCTTTAACCCAGGCTGTTAAAAAATTTCAAATGTTATATTTTTTTTTTTTTTTGTCCTCCCCTTCCTCGCCGTTAAGGCTATACGGGGTTTTCCCGGGCCAGGGAGTGTGGGCGGGGATTTAAAAGACGCCTTGGCACCGGGACGCGAACTCGTGACTATTTTTATAACACAATTGTTATATATCAGGTTGCCGGGCAACGGTGGTGCTGTGCACAACGCGTCAGCCCATTCGGCCTCCCCGCCCACACAAAATGTTATATTTAAAATATCTAATGATTCTTTAGCTTGACCAACGGTTTTGCTATGAGGTGATTTTATTAGGATCACACTCAATTGCCGTCTCCCCCTCCTCCCAAATTAAGGGTGAACATTTTATAGGTGCTCCATGAGAATTTCCCAAAGTCAGGACAATGACAAAGCCAGTAACTACAATTTTAATAGTTCTGGAATTTTATGGTGAACGTTGGCACTGCGGACGGAAAACGTTTTGGCTGATGAAATTGAGTTCATAAACTGAAAATATGCTGTTTATTTCGTGATATGAATATTTTTAGTTTTTTTACGTACAGGCTGCCGATATTGAATATTTAAATTATATTGCAACTACAAAAATCACTTTTGTCGTTGCCTGTTTATAATAATAAATATAAATATAAAACATTTAAGAACTATATTGTTAATCTTATATTTCGAATTCCCTTATTTAATAAGACTTATTTTGTGCAAGATAAAAAAGAATAATATTTATTCAGAGGTTGGCAATAAACTGTTATGAATCCAAACAAATTTTTTATTTGTTACATTTTACATCTAGTTGACATTTTGGGGTTTATTTCCCCATCCTCAGAACTATTCTTGCAATTCATTTGTATAAATTTCAAAAATAAAAGCGTTAATATAAAATAAGTGTTGTTACGATTATGTTAATTTAAATGTTGTTAATGAATTTATTAGCAATAATATTCACTCGTGTGCATATTGCATATCCATCTTGCATTCATGTAAGTTATCAATATTAACCTCTAAATAAATTCAACAAATTTTCAACAAAAGAAGAAAAGAAAGAACAGTGTTATTTTATTAGACAAAGGTTTCATGATCATAATAAAATGTTCCCCTATAAGTATGTAGATTTTTTATATGCAGACGAAATATTAGGAGTGTGTATGATAAATTTTAATTATGTATCATTGATACATTTCCTACTATATATATTATACTACTTAGGAAATGTATATTTCCTTCCTTATATTTAACATACACACTCCTAATATTTCGTCTGCATTTAAAATATATATATATATATATATATAATATATATATATATATATATATATATATATATATATATATATATTACAATATATATTTTAAATGTATTGTTAAATGTTGGCATTACAGACTGTGTAGATCTTTTGCCACCTTAACCAATCTTCTCCATCTTGGCCTATTTGCATGCAGTTGTATTGCAACTTAGGTATTTCGATATATTCATCTTCTTTATTTTTTTTTTTTTTTTTGTCCTTCCAAGTAGGCTCTTGTCTAATATTTATTGTTGTGTAAAGGTTTCCAGATGGATTTCTGCCACCTTAACCATCATACATGCCGTGCCCATCTTAACCTCCTGGCCTTCATATCATGAGAAATACGGATTGACTAGTTTCTGTCAGCAGTTTTTATTGTTCCTTCTCTACCGTATGTTGGTTCTATCCAGATCACTCAGATTATTGTGCGAACCATTTTTCTCTCAAATCTTTCAACTGGATCTATGTCTTATTTCATCCATCCAAGAATGAATTTGTTATTAAATTGTCTTCATTTTTTAATATTTTTAGAAATTTTAATAATTTCTAACAATTTTATGAGTCCTATTTGTCCTTTCAAAACATTATCAAATTGAATATTTTACAAAAAAAATACCATTCATTTCTTTAAAACGGATTTTTAAATTTTAATCGTATCTATTTTTATCCCAGAATTTCAATGGTTGCGAACTGCTGTACGACCCGAGCCCCGGGCAGGGGGGGAGGGGAGGAGGAGGTGAGACAGATGTCAGCAATACTAATGAGCCGTCAGTGCCACGTCCGCGGTGATCTACGTTCCCTAATAGATCTGCTATGCTCCGAGCTCCTAGCGATATTTCATCCCGGCGAATCACATTATTCTGTCCGGGGGCCGGTGCTACACCTTCCCACCACTGTCGCCGTCGGAACAGATGCCTTCTTCTTACCATTAGTTGGTGTCATATCAAATGGTCCCGGGCTCTTGTTGAAGTAAGATTTTTCATCGTGACAGTATCACACTCGAGGCGTCGCTGAAACAAAAAGAAAAGTGAGGAAAAACTCTGTGGGAACAATGATAGCTCCCTCCTCTTTTTTATTCCACCCTCTTTCTCAGGATCTTTGGATTTCCCTTTATTCCGAGGTTATCCGAGGAAAATGATTAATTGGAACTGCCACTTGGTGGGTTTTGTATTTTAGAAGTCATTATTCTTTCTGGATATATGTAGAGTTACTCTGTTTCATTTTACTTAATTTAGTCCTTCTGATTTTCACTTTTCAACAGTCTGTGTTCCATCTTATGATATGCCATACATACTCATTATTAATTAAAATGACATTTACATTAATACTGAAAAAATAACTCAAATAACAGTTTAAATTTACAGATATATTTATTACATCATACAGATCACCTACTTAATGCATTTACTAAAACTCTGGTGCATCACACAACACTTAATGTACTTACCGATCGAATTATATAATTGAATCTTCTCAAATTTGTCTCGTTAATATTAAATCATTAAAACCTACCATCATATTCTTTTCTTTTTTTTTTTTTTTTTTATTATTGAAATTTACAACTGCCTTAAAAGATAAATACAACAAGCAAATATGAAACAAATAACATGACATGTACAACATGAAGAGAAATAACGCATTGGTAGCACTCCAATTATATTTTTATATTAGAAAGTCCCGAGGCAATCTTCTTTTCAGACGCCTCGGAGGATTATCAGGAATAGAAGAGGAACCTAGGTTGAAAACAAGAGGGTTTGGATGGTTCAGAAGTTTATTATGGAAGGATAGGTATTTGGATTGAGCTAAACCGGAAACATATGGTACATTAAGGTCTTGATGGATGATTTTATTTATCACAAAGTAGAGAGCATTGAGGATTTTAAGAAGAATTAAGGATTGATCTAATCTTAAGTTATTAAACGTTATTATCATGTATTTTATGAACCTTATCACACTATTCGAAATATATGCACTTCTCTCATAAAAATATAATAATGTAGTTTTTAAATAGTTTTATGACGGCAATTCGATTTATTGTACTTTTTATATTTTTCAAGATCAATTTTTTTTTTTTTTAATTCATTCAGTTTATAATTTCTTATATATCGAGTACTAATAGATTTTCCTATATTAAACGAATTGTATCAAATTAACAGTAAGAACCAATGCAATTATATTAACACTATCCTTCGTATTGATGTGCTAGAATATTTTTCCTTGTGCCTGGGTGGAGAACGACCGTATATTTTTACTGCATATAGCCACAAACATACGATGTTCATATCCATTCATCTGTATTTTTTTCATTTTCCATATAACCGCTTTTAAACGATTTGAATTTTTCTTTTTCTTTATCGGTATTTCCCTGAAACGGTAAATAAAAATGTTTTTATTTTAATATCAATACATGTCTACAGGTCTACAGGATTTTAAATTAATCTTGCTTAAGATAAAAATATTCATCATTCTCCGTTGAATTTAATTTAAATGTAGAACATTTGATACAAAGAAGTTGACTTTTACATCATTTCTTTCTTAATTTGATATAGTAATGTATATCAAATATAGTAATGTATCAAATATAGTATCAAATGCATATCAAATATAGTAATGTATAGTAATGTATATGTAAAATAATATAATTATTTTATATATTTTAAACTGTTTTATTGCGTAGTCTCTCAATAGAGGACCAATAGTCATAATGAGAAAATATTTCATTTGTGCCATATATATAGAAAATATGAATAACTAAATAATATATATATATATATATATATATATATATATATATATATATATATATATATATATGTATAAAACATATGATGTTGGCAAAAAAAGAATAAACTTAAAGATAAGTAAAGTGAAATATCATCTTTAAACTAAGTATACTGGTTACTGGGGTACTAAGCTATTCGATATAATAAAATTAATTTATTTGTTTAAACATTTATGGAACACATTGGCAAAATCTTTTCGAATATTATATTTCTGCATAACTCTCTCTCTCTCTCTATATATATATATATATATATATATATATATATATATATATATATATATATATATTATCTCCTCTTACTTTTAGGCAACACGGTTTTTTTTTCCAGGCAGGGGGGAGATCTGGGAATTATGCCTAGTTAAAAGTCCTTACGGCCACCGGGATTTGAACTTATTATGTTTCTAGCTTAAACTTCAGTTATTAGGTTGCCGGGCAACGCACGGTGCTGTTCGTTTATTTACAATTCTTCCTAATTGTAATTACAGTAATGATAAAGTAAAAATCCTCTCCCAAAACTGAATTCTGGATCCGCTACTGCATTCTAGCACAACTTAAACCAATTTTATTATATTTATAATTTAGAGAACCACATTGGAGGAGCATACCGAAAAAAAATTTCCAGACGTCGGTCCCAGTGTTGGTTTACAACAGCGGTGGTGTGTGTCAAAGTGGCCTGTAATTTAGTACCAAGTCAAGTGAGGGCCTGGTACCCGTCAAAGACGTCTGGATCGTATCCTAGTCAACTTGCCCCAGTCTTTTATCTTAAGGTTCCGGAATCTACTCTTCGTCGTACCTTCACACCCGAAAGGTCCATGTTCCCTTGGGGAAACATGTCACTTTAATTGTATTTAAATTTTTTTTCCCATGGCTGAGTCTTTTCGTTGTTTCTCTAGGGCAGGTGTCCTGTTCGATCCTTTAGTTCTCCGCATTAATTCAAACAGGTCTGTGTAACTGTACTTAACTGTCTTGGAGAGAGTGGTTCGTGGTTTTTAACTTTGGTTACTCTTTTGTTTTAGTTCGGTTTTCAAATGAGAAAACATGGTGGCTGTCGTAATTAAACTTTTTAAAAAATGGATTCCGCTATCTCTGTAAACACTTTACATTCCACAGTAGTTTGTTTTCTTACTTTTATTTCCATCTTTTCTCTTTTATTTTTATGTCACTGTCCTTTACTCAGTTTTCTAAACTTAACAAAAAAAAAGTTTTTTAGTACCTTTTGGAAATCAATACAACAATTATCTACTGAAATGTTTCAATATATGAATGTTTTATTTTATTTTATTTAATTCGATTTAATACTGTGTGTTCTTATAGCTCTGAAAAGGTTTATTTTCCTTTTTTTTTGCATTTATTACAATAAAAGACATTCATCCTAAGCCTTTGTTAATTTTATTATTCATTTATTATTTTCGAACTTATATTTACATAATTGATATAGAAACCAGACTATTTCATAATTAAATCATGAATAATTTAAATCAGTAGTTTGTTCGTTATTAATTGAAATAAATTTTAAAATTGTTATCTTGTTTAGCTGGTGATTTAGTTTATATAAATTTAGTCAATATTTATGAACTTCGAAGTGATTGGTTGGCGAATGTTCACTATTTGAATTTAATAACAGGAAAAGTGCAGATGTAAACTCCCCGGTCGTTTTTGCATAAAACAACATGAATGTTTAATGCGAAAATTGTATTTGTTCACATCGCACGGGCGCTATGCAAATTCTTCGGGTTTTCAAATAGATCATGACTACAAGGATCAATATAAATGCAAATAACCTACCAGAGGAAATCATAAAACTAAAATATCAGTTGGGTGATTATCTTTGTAAATTAATGATAACTTTGACGTTCATCATTTTTTTAACCTTTTAATGCTTTAAAAAATGTCATTAAAGGTTGATGATTTTCAATAAAATAATACAAGATTTTTTTTTGAAACGGTGTAATGATTTATCTACTTGTGAATTTTATTTATTTTTATTACTTCTGCTTTAGGCCATAATATTATGCAGCATTTATAGCCAATGGTTCACATAAAATTTCATTTATATCTATTATATTAATATACTTATTGTTATCGCTATTATATATATATATATATATATATATATATATATATATATATATATATATATATTCAAAACAGTACAGAAAGAAATAAACTGTCCTCTGCTAGATAATTATTACAAAAATGCATCAAATTTAAAACTACAAATGAAAAACAAGCTGTAAACAAAAACTGTTGATTTCTTGAAATAAGTAAAATTCTTCTACAGAATTCAAGATAATGGTATTGCCTATAGCCTTGCGAAGTGGAGGAAACAAAATAAGAATAAATACACACAGAAACGTATATATTATTATTATTTATTTTGTTTAATTTATTGCATTTTAACCTGTATGTATAATAGATTTGGGGAAAAAGTATTTTTAAATATATTATTTAAAATACCAAGTATTTTATTTTTCTAAAATACAATTTTAATCACCTAATATTTCAATTCAAACTTATTTTTAAATTACTTTGTTTAATTATTTGATTTAATAAGTATTTAAATTTCAAATACCAAATATTTTTTCTTTTGAACAATATAAATATTTGGTGATTAAAATTATAATTTAGAAACGTAAAATACTTGGTATTTTAAACAAAGTATTTTAAAATACATTTTTATCTAGGTCTGATATATAGTATGAATGAATATTTAGAGCCCGAATAGCTATTTGGAGTAAGGTCCCGGTGTTGCAGATTGATTTATTATTTATTAATCAAAAAAATAAAAAAATTGACTGAACCAGGGGGTAGTTCGGTGACCAAGTTGTCATCTTACATTAATTTGTTATGCCGCTTTGAATATAAAGAAGAGAAAACGCATTGACAAAAACACTGAGTTGGGAAAGTATTCCAGATGAACTCGTGAACGAGAAATCGGGTTTATCCATGCTTCCAATTGGATTTAAAGGACTAAAAATTTGTTGAAATGAATCCGCACCCAGTTTTCCGACTCCTGAATTTCTTCTCCTTTGCCGGCACGAGGAACGAAATTTATTACCGGGATTCCCTTTCTCTACCGCCCTCTTCGCCCTTTATTACTTGGCCCATGAGGTTCGTCCAGAAATCCGTTTATCCGTAGCCCCTCCCGGGCCATTATTACATCAAAGGAAACGAGATGAAATCTCGGTGATCGAGTTGGGAGTTTGTCAACATCCCACTTCCGGCGACCCCTTTCGATCGTCCTGGCTTTTCGACTTCCGCTCATCTCCCCTCCCCCCACCAGTTGGAGCATGTGTCCAATACTCATCGGTGAACGTGAGCCGGGAAAAGGTATTACTCCTGCTTCATTTCTCTCCTATGTACCGGATCCGTCTTAGAACTTCTTCATCCCTGGGATTAATGCTGGTCCTTGGAAATGTTAGATATTGGCCGCTACCGAAAGTATTGGAAATAACACCATTTTATGAACCGAACCGTACTTATTTTTAGGACAGCAGTGATTGGACAATACATCAAAATTCAGAAATTATTTTTTCCAAGCACTTATTATTTTAAAAATCAGTATATATAAGTTAGCTTCTGGAAATGTTAAAATTAAATATATCAAATAAACTTATTTTTAGAATCCAAAAATTCATTTTATTATCTTTAACCTCCTTTTTTTAACATGTGTTTTCTTATCACGCTATCTAAATGACACATGTATAATATCGATAGTTGTTTTGGATTAAGTTTAATACTATCATGCTTCCTTAAGGGGACCCTACACGGTCAATGGAAATTGCACTAATGACGTTCCGAATTGTCGTGTAAGGTAGTGAATGAAGTACTGATGGTGGTGCGCTGCGGATTTCCGAACATCTGGAAATCAAAGGTTCAATCACGAGAAGTGGAGGGGGGACTGAGGTAGTGCGGAGACTAACCATACTGCTGTATAGGTTACGTTACCTAGGCCTCACAACCATTGTACATTTCTGATTTTCATTATATGTAAATAGTTAAATTTTTCATATCCCTTGTTTATAATTTAAAACCATCTTCAACTATTTCTTTTAAATAGTCAAGTGGTCAACAAATTAAAAAAAAATGAGGTAACTTCACAATTTACTTTATGAAAAAAAAAACTTTAACGTTGTGTATATTTATCAGTTCTTTTCCCATTTTCCTCAACAAATTTATTATTTTCGCAATACCTTTCCTTAATTTTTGTAAGTAGTAGACTTATATTTTACTAACTTTTGTCAAAACGATATGAGACTAACCTTACAACTAGATAGGTTAGTTTACCTAGGTCTCGTTATTAAGTAAATAATTTCATAAAAGTAAATAGTTGTTTATATCCCTAGTCTATATTATTATTAACCATTTTCAAATATTTTTTCTTTAAATAGTCAAGTAGGCAATAAATTGGAGAGAAAAAAAAAAATGTGGAAACTTCACATAAGTAATGATCAGTAATGATTGAACGTGTAAGGGTCTTCATGATCAAAGCGATAGCGGGCAATCTTGGAACTTCTTGTGACGTTCATTCATGAATTACCGTGTAGGGTCTGCTTAAGACCTTAACTTATATATATATATATATATATATATATATATATATATATATATATATATATATATATATATATATATATATATTTATATGTGTAATCCTTTATATTAAAGTAAGAAATTATTATCAATGTATTTTTCACCTACACCCAAATTTCATATAATTAATATAAATAAATAAATATAAATTTCAGACCTCAAACTTTTAAGAGTAAAATTTTCATGCATTTAACATTTTTCTTAAGGTCCATTACTTCACCTAATAAAAAATATTTGGTACGATAACAAACGTGCATGATATTTAACATGTATACAACTGTATTACACTAAATAATAATCATAAGTGAGCTGTTATAATTTTCGTAGATGGCATTACTATTTACAGTGGAAATATCAATCCTTCGAAGGCTTTGTATCAAGCTGAGAAAACTCTTAACCAAATTTTGAAACAACTCCAGCCTCAAAATATTGTTGTTAAAGAAAGTTAAGAACGACATACTTTTTATGCCTTTCTGTTCCCATGGAAATCTTGGCAATCCACATACTTTTACTATTTTTATTATTACACTTAGCTTAGCTAATTATGAAATATTAAGGAAAAAATATAGTTGAAACGACATGCATAAAGTACATCAGTCATCATTTTATTACATTAAATATATTATAATTATTACTTCAGAGTTTTATTGAAATTATTTTTTGTTTTTTAATGACTCTGAAGTGAATGACTCTGGAATATTGAAAAAACTTTAAAATTATGGTCACCTTTCATATATTATTGTGGGAGAAGAGCAGAAATTGCTTTCAATTACCCATAATAACTTTCAACACATGTAGGCATACGATTGTGACAGAGTACGGTTAAGGCAGTCATAAGCAAAACTATGAGGAATTGCCGATAAGTTAATCAAGAAGAAAGGGATGTTTTGCCTGCCCAAATTTATTTAACAAGATTGTTATCACATCGCACTAGCAGAAGCCTTGACTTTATGAAAGACTAAAGTAATTTTTTTTTTCTTTGGATAGTTACTGTTGTACATTTACAGATAGAGTAATGAACGTGTTTATACCATAAACATTATTTGTTAATTAGCAGTGATTAACTTACGTAAATAATTTTATAATAATAATGGGTAAGGTTGTGGCACAAGTATTTTTTTTTTTTTGCTTTTAGATACCAAGAAAACGCTTTAGAAAGACCGAAAGTTTACAAATGTTTATTTCTCATTATCTCTAAACGATTAAACCATTATGATGTTATGTAATACAATGAAAGTGATTTTAGACAATTTTTTTTTTTTTTTTTCAATCTGTCACTGCCGATTGAAACATCTGTCACAACCATTCTTGTGTTGGTTGTGACATTTTCCTTCTTTTGTTTCTAATTTCCTCCTATGAGATTACCATTGTACTTACTAACAAAATCTCACTCTGTATTAGTGTTGCCCAAAAACCGCCTGACTGTTGCAAGACCAAGACCAAGACTGGTAAAAAAAAATCGTTTTTGTTATAAAAATTAAGGCAAAATAGTTACTAATGCTTGACAATTTTAGTTACTATAAGCAAAGAATTGGTATAAGCAATAAACTTTTGTATTTGACTCTCCATTTTTTCATTCGGGCTTAGGTTTTTTCTATCTGAAAAAATACTGTAATATCTCTATAGTAATAGTCTAATAGGTAACTGCGAGATTCTTGCGCAAGACCAAGATCAAGATCAAGACTTCGCCAGACCACCAAGAATGCGCAAGGCCAAAACTGATTGGCGTACTAACAAAATTGAGTACCATTAAATGAAAATTGTCACATCCGTACCCAGTCTACCCTAATGTTTCAATAAACGAAAATTTATGGAATGCTAAAAGTTGAGGTATAAACATCAATAAATTTAAAGACACGATCAATCAACTTTTAAAATGTTTTCCACTTAGTTACTCTCCTTAGACTTAGTATAAATGATTCAGTAAGAAACTCCAGTCTTTGATTAGCTTCATCACCACCGCCATATTAATAATTTAGGAATAATAGCTGTCGCGCGCCTTCTCCAGTCTGGGCGATCGCGAGCTCGCGTGCCTGATTGGTCGGCCAACCCAGCCCTCCCATTGGTCTCAGGCATAAATAGCTGAGTCCTAATTGACGTCGACTAATGAGGAGCTTTCGGCTTCCGGTTTTTGTTACTCCCCAGGCTTTTTACCTGCTGCACCTCCTCCGTACATCCGGGGGTGGTTTTTGCCACCTCTTCCACTCCCTCTAACAAGGGGAGCAAAGGGAGTCCTAATTCACTTCCGTGCGATATCTCCTCATATCTCTAATGAAGGAAGGAAAGAATTGAGGGAATTCAGGCACGCAGCAGTTTAAAAATTAGCCGAATTTAATTAAAGCCAAGAGATAAGAGATAATTTTACAAATTCCATGCAATTAGGGAGTAATTTATTTTACCTGACGGGACTGTTCTTGCGTCAGCTACATTTAACTATCATTTTGTTGATTTCATATATATATATATATATATATATATATATATATATATATATATATTCATATATTTCTTTTCTTTTTTTCAGTTAGTTTTATGTATATTTTTTTAATTTCGTGTTTCCTTTTTCATTTATTTTCATTATTATTATTCTTTCTTACATTTTTCCTTCTCTTTGATGTATTTGGTTAATACACTAGTAGACAGCATAATCTAACTTTACTTCTTTTTATTTCAATAGAAAAATTTCTTACTACTTTATTGAGAAGCGAAATGGCTCAGTGGGTATGGCATTGACTTCCAATGCTCGAGGTTCCGGGTTCGAGTTCGGCTGTGGGAGGTAATCAGTTAGTTGTCGAATCCTGTATCGAGATATCTTCTTGGGCAAAACCAGCCTATATAAATTAAGCACTCTAAATTGAAAAAAATTATTAAGGTAAAAAACCTCGGTAGTTGAGCACGATTTTGTTCAGATCGCCTTCTGGCACAAACTTTGGTCTTTTTGAACCCAACACCTTTCATGGGTTGTCGGCCAAGACAATTCATAAAATTTAATTATCGAATGACAACAAATATTATAATTATTTATATGTAATTTAGATAATCGTGGGTTTTAAATATTCAGGACGCACCTACCCATCACTCATACTTATCACTCAACGAAACGAAATGCAGTTTTATATTTCAAAAATACGGAGACGAGGACGGTAAGGATTAAAAGCAGAGTGGATGTTTGAAACAGCGTTGGAGTTAAGGTTCAATAAGAGGTCGTCTACATATTCTTAATGAAAAATATCTTATTTGAAAATTAGTCACTATATTAAAATATCGTTGCTCTCTTCAACACATTGAAGTGTAGAAAACATCTCCTGACGATGACCAACAAGCTTGAATTAATACGTTGGCAATAAAATCAGAAATTGACTGCATTCTATCACCCATGTTAGAATGTCGGCAAACTTCCTTCCTTCAACAACACTGAATCAATACAACGAAGATACTTTAATCAATTAGAAAGAATGTAAAAATGTATAATAATGTATAATACATAAAATATAAAAGTCAACTTTTTCTCTAACGAATGAGAGATTTGTTTTTCCCTGTTTATAGAAATATCTGGTCGAATAAACAATGGATTTATTTGTTTCTGTAAACCAATTATCCACGATCGGAAAACATCAGGAGGAAAAAGCAAATCAGTATACAAACAAACCAAGTTTTAATTATGTTAATAATAAATCAGAGCACTTCACGCCCCGTCGTTATTAGCATAATTTACTGCCCTCCACGGAAGGCTGCCCTCATGTCTCTCCCAATAACATGTAATGCTAAATGACGCCACAATTCCACCCCCCCCCCCACCTTCCCCTATCCTCCCCCCCCTCTCCCAGAAAACCTCCCGGCCCCCGTTCCCTATCCACGTCTCAATCCCACCCATACCACACCCACAATCCCCAACA